CCCCCCCCAGCTCCGATGGCACCTCGTCCCCGCCAGCCACGCGCCCGCGTCACCATAGCAACCCGACAGTTGCAACACCAAATACTGCCAGGTGGCCCTGAATAACAACGATTAAGTTATCCCTCCCCGAGTAGGTACTCCTCTAGCGACGGGGGCTGGACGTCGAAGTACTGGGCAGTTGAGTTCGGGTAGAAGCAATTATGGCAATTTGTCAGCATGCCTGCGACGGCATACTGCTTGCCAAGGCCGCATGCGCTCAGTGCTACTTGCTGCTTCTTATGGTAATCGACGTACGGCCATTGGGCGACGATCCTACCGAACCCCCACTCAACAATGCCCCTCACACCGCTCATGGCGGTATTGAACGCCTGTTGACCTGCGGTCAGGATTCCTCTGAACGGAGCCTGTAGCCACGGGGAAATTTGATACGCCGGGACTCCATATACGTAATAAGGCTCACCCGCCGCGTCGTTGGAGTGGATCATCGTAACAGCAAGCAACCCACTCTGCCCAAGCAGCGTTACGTCATGACGGCGACCGAGCAACGGTCCCCAGAGCTGGCGAATGATACCATCAGGAGAATCTACTGACTGGTACTTGAGTGCATGCAAGCGCTTCCACCTGTTGTAGTGGAGGCGTTGCCAACGTCTAGGCTGCAGACTTTACGAATCGTATCGTCGAGGAACCCCCAACATCGAGGGAGAGGAGCGCAGCGGTTGTGTATCACCTCACAGAAGGAGTCTACCTTAGGAAGGATCGCATCTATTTGCAACTCGTCCACGAGGTGCCCCCACCGTTCGTGAATTGCCTCTATCGTCGCGTTGAACACTTCACACAAAAGAGTCCCCCCCATACCCCAGAAGAGGCGATCTCGAAGCACGTTGTGGGAGCGGCCAATCTCCGAAGGGTGACTGCTAACCCTAGTCGTGCGGGGGTTCGTTGTACGGAGAACCCCCTACCTCCATACAGCAGTGCACAACATCGTACAACACACCCAAAAATTCAAGAGGCACAACAGGGTGGTCGCGCATTTTTTGAAAAAACAAGCTAGCGGGAGTCCACACGTTGGGCGACCCGGACTTCGAGAGAGCAAACAACCTGGCCAGCACACAGCAGTCTATGCTTTTAGCGCTACTGCGTGCCTTCACGAGCCTAACAGGTGTTGCAAACCCGAAGCTGGGAATGGTACAACAAAGCCTAGAAATACTGCTGCTGCTGCTGCTGTAGGCCGCGGGCAGGCGTCTATTACTGCTGTTGTGTGTTTCGTACGTCGATATCTCGAGCTGAGCAGGTAGCTCGAGCGCCGCTAAAAGCCGAAGAAAGGGAGGTTTCTCAAACCGAAACAGCTCGTTGAAGTCGAACCCACCAAGGACCTCGAAGAACTCGTATCTGACTCCGTCTAGCACCGTCGGGAGGATGAACTCTCGATAAGCGCGCCATTTCAACAGCCACAATGCTCCGAGCATCACACACATATCGTCCTAACCAAGCGCACCGCAGACTGTGCAAAGCATGAGGATGCGCATGCATTCCCCGTATCGATCATGGCCCAGTTTTGCGCGTTGTAGGCGTGCCATCGCGCGGTGGTCCTGCTGTGGGCGGGGTCGGCCTAACCCGTGCGTTTGCTTTTTGTAGCGGGGGGGGTAGGGGCACCGTCATTGAGAAACCGTCGGTTCTTCTGAACAGGGACAAGTCGAGCCGCCCGCCCACTGGGTCTTTTTTTTATTTTTCCAAATACAACACAACGAGTCCATTTCCGTCAGAGAAAAGAGTCAAAGACAGATTAGCAATGGAATCATAGCGTCAAAGAAAACTACCTGTTGTGTGTCCACGATTTCCCAGACAGCATATATGGACATCTCCCCTGCGGATAACAGGCTCAACAAGACAGTTTGGTAGCTGTGTTGTGTGTCTTATATATGTTATGTTGGGAAGGTGTTTTTTTTTTTTATTTCGTCACTTTTTTCCCGGGAAGCAGGCGAAACGGGTTATTGTAACGGGTTTCTATGGGGAAACCCCTCAATGTGAACGGCTGACAGGTGTGCGTGCGTGCGCGCGGTTTTCTCATCTGGAGCGTTTCAACATGTACTGCTGTGTTCCGTATCGAGAGCATGCCCCCTCCTACGCAGAAATGAAGTGACCTACATATCCTCAATGTCTGTCACCAGTGTGAGACTAGTCGTGTGGGATCACGGCTACAGTAGCTCTTTTTCTTGTGCGCAGACAGCAGTCCCACCCTCTGTGTTTCTCTCCCGGGAGTTTGGCGGTTTCGCTCAGCGGTTTTTTTCCCGCTACCTCCTGCTACTTGTATGTTGTAGGTGGCATACAGACACAACGCTCCGGCGGCCAGTACATCTCTCATCTCACCTCTATGTCTGTTGTGTGCAGCGGCGCACGCGCGGGCGCGGGGTGGGAGGCTATACAGGAACACGCTGAGAGCTTGAGGAAAGGTTCGGTATTAATGTGGAGTCGTCGCTCCTCGTATTTGAATGTGATGAATGATGTCACCGTGTCCATACCGTGCCAGAAGAAATTCCTTATTCTGGTTCTTCCGCGGGAATCTGTATGTTCCGAACCAAGAAGAACGGAAACAAAGACGCAACAAGTCTTGAAACCTTTCCTGTCCCCCCCCCGTCCCGGCCCCTTCCCTTCGATGACGCACACCCGCCCCACTCTTCTGGTCATCAGCAAACGCGCCGCAGAGCAAAAAGGCGAGAGGAGGTGGTTCGATCGAGACCGAGCGAGAAAACGTGATCGCCCGAGAACTGCCTACCACGCCGCTAGGGGAGAGAGATCTCGTTGCCAAGAGAAAGCAAAAAGGTAGGTCGTTGCAGGTCAATAGAAAGTGTTGACGCTCAATTTTTCAACTGCAACGACCGAATCTTGGAGAGGAACAAGAGATCAGGTAAAGGGGGGGAGGCATAGGTAGCTGCAGACGCGAGAGCGCCGGCAACATCAGCAGAACAACATCCCCGAAGCCACTTTTGGTTTCCTCTGTCTCTTTGTCGAGGTCGCTAGCACGTACAGCAGTGAACGTTCTTTTGTAGCGCTCTAGTCTACAACCAAAGCGACGTGTCTCGTACTACAACTGCGGAGCGCGTGGCGTTCCGGGATTCCGAACTAGCACAGACCCGAACACCTTTGCTTAGCGCCTCCTTCACAAGAACAGTGAGTGCGCTGCTGAGAGACCATCGCTTGCAATGGCTTTCGCAGCACGAACCTGGCGAAGCGTAATGCCGTGAGATCAGTTTTGATGGGGCAAAAAATATTCGGTTCAAGTAGCCTGGTGCACGCGTTCAGACGTAACAGACGACGTACGGGTTCGTACTTGCATTTCGTGATACGACGACAATTCATCCGCACCCCCCAGCGCCAATGAACGGAGGTGCTTACAAGCGGCATGTCAGACAAAATATTGTTGCTGTTTTGCGTGCCCTAGCTCCCTCCGTCATCGTACTAACGTTTCACTTCAACAACCGTTCTCGATACTTGCCTCTTAGTGCACCATGCACATTTCTTGGACAATGTGTCATCTCATGACACCTCATGCGCCTCATGACACCTCATGACGCCTCATGACACCACCAAGAGCCGTCAATAAGGCTCGAGAGAATTTGTATGGGTGTGGCTTGTGCGTGACGAGTTCATCAGGTTCCGCGAACGGGGGCCACATACTTTTAGGACTGTTGTTCCCGGGAAGCGTACATGGTGTAGGGGGGGACTTGCGAACAAACACAAAGGACCAAGACCCAAAAATCAGGGTACGGGCACAGGCTTCTTTTTTTTTTGGTACATTTTCTAGTAAACAGGGAGGTATCTTGTGCCCACCGCAGGCAATCTCCCACACTGCTGACAGTTTTGTTAACTGAACCGCCCATGGGCACTTCAACCTAATACTTCGCCACCGACATGTCAACCTAGAACTTGGCTACTTTCTGATCAGCCTAGAACTTTAAGACACTAGCGCCAACCTAGCACGTAACGAGTGAGCTTGGGGTCAGGGTTACGGATAGCGTTAGGGTTATCAGCCGCTATAGTGCTCGTTCCAAAGCAGAAAATCTATTGCTTAGGAGGTAAGAGTACACTGGTTTGGCTGGGGCTCTCAGTGACCACCCATGGCCTTCCCATCGGTTACCCATGGGCCGCCCATGCGCTGCGCACGGGCTACCCATGGGCAAGCTCATGGGCATGGGCATGCCCATGGATGACCCATGGGTGACCCATGGGCAATGAAGTGCCTTTGGGTCGCGCATGGGAGTCCCATGGGTCGTTTGGGAAAGCAGTAGAAAGTGTGAGAGGTTTTCGCGCATCGATCTGCACTCACAATCGGAAGCACATTTTTGCGCCGTATATCTGTCGTTCATAAAAGCCTATCGATATGCCTATTAATAGAATCCCGTTCCCCTCCGCCGATGTATGGCTACTATACCCCCCCCCCCCCCCCCCCCCCCCCCCCCCCCCCCCCCCCCCCCCCCCNCTCTTGTTGCTATTTCAACAATCTACATTTTCTCAACGATGACACCCAACTCAGTCCAGGAAAACATGTTCTTTGGAGCCGCTGCGCGGTTTGCGGCGATCATCGCCCAGCTCCAGACGAACGGCAAGAACATGATGATGCTGCAACAGCAGCAGCTGCAGCAGCAGCAGCAGTCCCAGCCCATTTCGGCGCTGCGTGGGTGGGGCATGATGGGTAGCAGCCCCGGTCATCGTATCGGCGGCCTCAAGTAAGTGGTGATTTGACGGACAAGAGGACTCGAAACCTTGCCCCGCAGGGGATGTGCAATCGCCATATATGCTGCTTGCGCGGAGACGAACGTAGAAATACAGGGTGGTGCCATCATACAGATACATGTACCACGCTACATGAATTCATCGCAGGGGAGATACCGCTAGAAAATTAGCTCCTCTGAAGACCGTACAAATACAGAGAGGTTGGTGTCATCATATTGGCATGCCACACTATGAATCCGTTGCAAGTCCATCTCACTTCATCTTCCCTGTCGTTTGGCAGCCCTCGCCGCCTCCACCCCGCCCTCATCTAGCCTATCCCGGTACGTCTATCTGTCGTGTGGCCGCCCCCGCCCCCCTCATTGTCTCCCTCCTCCACCGGTGCCTCCCCCCTCCCGTCTTCTACCCACGGACCCACGGAACTGGACTATCTTCTCAGGATAGCGGCCCGAAGCGAGGCACTCACCGTCGTCATCCCCGTTCCCCACCAGAACAAAGGTGAGTTATTGTATGATTGTCACAGAAAAAGGTTAGAATTGTCTTTATTACAAAAGAAGCTCCATTGACTAAGCATGCGGGTACTATCATTGCTGTGTCCCCCGGACTTGCGCCCTTGAAGCACACGCGGACTCCGAAACGACAGGATGATATATTGGCCGGTAGCAGTAGCTAGCCCGACCGCAGCTGCTTCGATGAGAGGCAAGCAAGACGCTACGGTAACGAGAGAGGAGGCTTACACTATTCTTCCCAGCAGGCTGTTGATACTGCTGTCGCTGATGATAGCGGTCGTCGTATGTACACGTCTGCCCCGACTACAAGTACCTGCATTTTTTTTTACGTGTCATTTTCTTAACATTACACGGTAGTAAATCCATCTCTACATTGCATGTGTTTGAACACCTTCCAAATGTCTAGGTATGTCGGTCAGTTAATCACATCGCTTTTTTCCTTGCTGATTGCCTACGGGGACAAGACTCAATTCCTGCCTCAGCGTCAACTCTCCCCGATGATGGGGGTCAGCATGTGTTTGTGTGTGTACCTTTTTGCCGCTGGCATCGACCGCGCTAACCGGTTGACCAATGAAAACGACGCCATTCGCGGTCCGCCCTGAAAACGTTCTAGAGCTTCTTCAGATTTGTTGAACCGCCCATGGGTCACCCATGGGCCGCCCATGGGCACTTCGTGTGCGACCTACGCGCGGCCCCATGGGCGGCCCATCAACTGCCCACGAAGTGCTCACCGTGGCACTTCAACCTAAAACTCGCCACCTGCATATCAACCTAGAACTTAGCCATCGGCACATCAACCTAGAACTCAGCCACCCAGCCCCGACGTCGCACGGGTCGTGTGGGCTTGGGGCTAGGGTTCGGGTCACATGGTGTTAGGGGTATTACCCATTATGCAGCCCGTTCCAGAGCAGATAATCTATCGTTATGGAGTACACTGGTTCCGGTTGAAGGGGCACTCATTGGCCGGTTAGCAAAACTGAAGAAGGCGTCGGAGACCCTGTGGGCCACAAGCTGGGAGACAGTGAGATCCGGTTGAAGGGGTGCTCATTGGCCGCCCACGGGCGGGTTTGCAAAACTGAAGAGAGCGTGGTAGGCCACGACCTGGAAGACAGTGAGAGGGCGTCATGGGAGAGAGACTAGGCAAGGTGTTCGTGTGTTTTTGCGTATGTGCGTATGTATGCATTTGCTCGTCTGCATTGCCCGCGCCATATGTGCGTGTGTGCCTTTGTTTGCACTAGATATATGAAGTTGAAAACATGATAACCACCTACCCTTGAATCCCATTGCCCTTCTCTTTATACTGATATACCTATTGTTGTTCGTTTTTTCCGGCGTTTCTTCCTTTTCTTTGTCGTCGGCGCAGGGCTCTACGCCTCAGGACTCCTGAACGTCCGTGTCTCCAGCGACAACCAGGTGCCTACACCAAAACGGATTCGTGGTCATCGTGCAGCGCCCAGACTTCATTGGCGTGTGCCCAGGATCCCGGGGGTGTTGTTTGTGTTGTTTTTCGTTTAAAGTAGAACAGAAAAAGACTCGCCGCAGCCTTGTCTCGGGGTTGCACATGATATATGATACGAACCCAACAAATACGTGAATACTCATCCGCACACAGAAGAGAAACACTCTTTCGTTTTCACGCGCATGATGGGCGGAAAACATGCGCGCAGAGTGGTGGAAATTGTTTTTTTTAACAATGGCTCGCCGCAGCCTGTCTTCATCTTGGTTTCCCGTGATGGACGGGGCTCGTTGAAAGTGCTGTTGTTGTGTTTTCGTGAAATTTGGCGACAGATCAATGCATTCTCCGTCAAATGCATAGAGCAGCGTCTGTTGCTAGCGTGGAGGATCAAACGCCAACCTGCGCCGCGTAGCCATGTGTCTCTGCTTTGCTGTCACGTTTTGGTAGAGATATTATCGTCACGTGTGTGGTAAAGAGATCTTGTCGTCGTCATGGCCTAGATCTATGCTCTATCGCCCAACGAAGGGTGCACGGAGCTTCAGCAGCAAGCCCGTGCTACCGTGTTCGAAATTTACCATGTTTGTGGTGGAGACTAGGCAAACTAGCCGGCAGACCGGAAGCAGCGGTGACGTTGCCACATTGTTCGCTTGGCGAGAGGAGTGCTCGCTTTCTTTGTAGTATTTTTTCTTTCCCTCGGGCCCCTCTCTCTCCCTCTGGCCCCTCTCACTCCCTCCCTCCCTCTATCTTTCCATCTCTCTATCTCTCTATCCCTCTGTCGCTCCCTCCATTCTCTTTCTCCCTCCCCCCCCGTCTCTATCTTTTTCTATCTGTATCTCCCCCGCTCGCTCTCCCTGTCTTTCCGCCCACTCAAGTCTTCGATGCCGCCCCCCCCCACCCCCCAACTCCCTTTTCCTCTTTACGACCACACTCTGAGAGCAGGTAACCAACGCCGAGGACGTCGCCGCCAAGCACCCTCTCCCTGGCTACATCGTGCCCGTCCAAGCCTCTGCGGACGATGCGGACCCTCTTACGGCGAACAAGGTGCTCGCAAGAATTTCTTTGCGTCCCGGTGCTACAATATGTCTAGGTCGACCCCCCTGTTTTTTCGCAGGAACTTGCGCAGAGCTTCTCTGTTCCCGGGGAAGAGTTTTTATCGACGACGCGTTGGGATCGGGTACACAGGCTGTGGAATGACGCCCCTTTTGCGTTACATTTTGGACGATACTTCTCCCGCCGCCTTTAGCTGGCAACAACAAAGATCATGCAACATCTGATGAAAAATGAGAATATATATATATATGTGTATACATTGCGCACACGCCGCCACCCACACGGGGCGAAGACGGTTTTCCCCCCACCGCCATGCTGGCAAAAACAACGATCATGAAAAAAAAAAAAATCGCGCACATGCCCACAACCCACGGGGGGTCGAAACCCCCTCGGAAGGCCATCACGAACGAACGACCTCGACGTGCGGTTTGTGGTGGCGTTCTTTTCATCCCCTGGGGGCACGCCGCCATGGATGCGGTGGTCTTGCACGCGCTATGTACGGACAAATAAATGACGATACTACCCCCACCTCCTCTGCTGGCGATCAATGATGGTGCGGTCTGAGAACCCCGCACGGGCTCCATCCTCTCGAGAGGACACGTAATGAATGGTGTAACCGCTAAGGCAGGCAAAACATGAGTGCGCCCCTCCCCCCCCTCCCGATCAACAGGGAGTTGAAGCTCTCCAGGAAGGCAGCGGTGGTGGTGCTGGGACCGACGTGGAAACGACCATGACCAGCAAGGCCGAGTTCAACCGTAACGCAGGGACTTTCGTTGCACCCTTGGGGGGGGGCTCCGTGGATTCGGCGAAGACCTCCGAGGAGGACGAGGCGTTCTTCGCCACGGGGCATGCCGACACCAGGGTGGGTATTTATTTTTTTGGGTTGTTTATTCGACTCTGCAATTCGGCAACGGCGACCAGAAATATATTGACGTGATATGTGTGTGTTTCATGTTGGCATCGACCGCGCTAACCGGCTCACCAATGATAAATATGTCAGTCTCTGTATGTGCGTGTGCGCTTTTTCTAGAGTATTTTGCTCCGGATGTTGTTGTTGTGGTTGCATCGAGAACAACGATGGTGCTTGTCCAGCATTGCTCCGTGCTGTTGTGTACTCGTGTATAGCGAAGAAGGCGATGATGTCGGTTGCAGTATAAGGTGCAGGCGGCAATCTGGCTCCGCTGCGATTGTTGACCCGCACTTGCTCGAGAGCACACAGAGCACAGGCGAGGACCAATCTCGCTCGAAAGCAGAAGCAGAACACCGGCTCCGGTGAGGTACTAGGCGAGGGCAAGACGGTGTGTGTTGCTTCCCTCTAACACCGACGGTATAGTTTTGTCCTTTCAGGATTGTACTTTGGGCGGAAGGGGAGTCAGCGTGTGTGTGTGTGCACAGGGCAATGGCGAAGGACGGCACCCGAATATCAGCACTACCTAAGCCAACACCCTCCGTTGCCTTGGCCCTGGCTTTCCCGTTGCCTCCACCGCCGAGACGCTGTCCTCCCTCCTCCTCCGAGGGTCGTGATCGGGATGCGTTTGTAGCTAATGTTGGCCCTCGGTCCGAACACCATCCGGATGATGAGGTTGGGGTGCTAAGCGTATTGATCTTTGTCTGCATACGTGCGTGGTTGTGCCGCTTCGGATGCAGCAGCAGCAGCAGCACCTGCACCAGCACCCGTCTGGCTGGACGAAGAGCTTCAAGAATGTTTTCACCAAGTCGAGTGGTCGCAAGCTCCTACTCATGGCCAAGGTGAGGCACGCCGAAGAGTGTCCATCGTGTGTGGGCAGCTTTTTCGGGGTTGTTGACCAAGACAACGTACACAACGGCATTCTAGATACCAAAGAATAGTTTGGAGTCTCGTGTTCAAGCAGGCAGCTTGTGGGAGCCGTGAGCCTGTTTGGTCGACTCTCGTCTCAGCCACCCACCGCCCCCGGTCTTGGCGCAGAGCGCGTATTGTCTCGGCAAATCATCTGTACATTCTCCAATCTGTACGGCAAGCGTGCCGGTAGCTTCAATCCCAGCCACGCCCCGTAATCGTCGATGTTGCCACAGAAATCTACCTCCTCCTGAAATGGTCCTCCCCGCGGTGTTGTGCTAGGGTTGTAGGGCGAGGTATGGAAGGGAGGACGGCGGAGACGTTGAACTCTTTATCGTGTGCAGGCAGCTTTGCGGAGGTGTGTTGGTGACGGAGACCCCAGGTTTTCGGTTGGGAGCTATGTAAACAAGCCGACCTGAAAAAAATCCACGTTGTGGCAATCGTTTCGTTATTGTCCCGTTGCGGCGGGTGTATCGGTATGCTCCTCCCTCTTGTCTTGCTGCCACCTACCTACCGTACGAGTAGCGATGGACCCGTTCACTTGACAGTGCGCCGTTCGTTCAAAACGGTCGAGAGGGTGCGGGGTAGGTTCTCGCCGCCGTTCTTGCTTGCTTTCCTTGCCGTCGTCGATTCTAACTCGTTCGTTAGATGAAGGCTCTCAATTGGAGTGTGTCCCCTATGGAACACCCCCCGAGATAATTTTGTTTTCGGACGTGCGGGGGGGGAGGGGGAGGGGCACAACCACCCCAGACCTGAGCCGTGAGGTTCCCCGGACACGCGCTCCTGGTATAGATATCAGCACGTGTTGCAGTGCATGCATGCCTTCACCCCCTCGGTGTGCGCTCCGAACCAGTGGAGTTTACCCCGCGTGTCTGCCACCTCTTTGATCTTCTGGCAATAACCAGGACTTGGAGAAGATGTACGCCTACGTCGAGGACACGACTGCCGCCGCATTGGTTTTCTACGCGAGGTGCGTTTTCGCGAACAGCGGGATATATGTGCACCGGGGATGTGCGTCACAGCCGTGAAATCTTAGGCGGGAACGTTGTTTTTGTTTGTCCTGCTGTAGATGTATGCGTGTGTTTTCGAGGGGGTGTCGAAGAGCTCGGGCCTAGAGAGTACGCTGTGCACGAATTGGCTTCTTGTTGTACGCCGAAGGGTATCACGCCTGGTCAAACCAGAGAGAAGGCTTTCGTGAGTGCAGGCCCGTTGCTTTTGCCCTGGTCCGCTGGTCGGGGTCTGGTTCTCCCCGCTCTTGAAGCGGCACAAACGAGGAGGAGGAGGAAGAGGAGAGGAGGAGGAGTTGTGTGTGTTGACCGGTAGATGCCGAGGCGAAAATCAGCATGTCAATCAGCTGCTGCCACCGATTCTTGCTGCACAATTGTGCCGCCTTTTGTATTCTTCGTCCGTCCGTCCGTCCGTCCGTCATGGTGGCAGCCTTCGCTTCGGTGGTAAAACGCCCGCGCTGCTGGCGTCTCTGGTGACGGGGGCGGCGGCGGCGAGCTCGGTTGTGTCCGCCAACTCGACCAGCAGCCTGTCGCCAGGGACGACAAGCGCCGACATGAGCGACATCGGCTCAAGTAAGAAAGTTGTCGCCAACGAGGAGTAAGTTGACGACTTTTCACCGTCCGCCCAATCACCACAGTGCTGTTCGTGGCGCAGACGCCGCTAACGGTGGTGTTAAGACTAACGGAGGACGAGGAGATTTCCTCGCGCATTCATTAAACAGCAGTACAGGGGGCGATATATGGCCGCCTACAGTAGTGCCGCACGAATTCACCGGCCTTTTTTCGGGCGCCGCCACTATTCAATGTACAGGACAGAAGTGGTCCTGCTTGAATGCCGGTTGATCCCCTGTATACTGCCGGTGAGATCGTCTGGTACACATGGAATATTCAAATTGTTTCACACTTCTGAAGAATGCCAGTTGGCCGCAAAATTGCCGGTTCTAGAGGCTGGCACATACCATCCGGCATTATTCGGGGCCCACCAGTGTGCGAGACATGTTGAATATCCCAGTTGTTTCAAGTGGTTGCACCGACCTTAATTTCGGGCGACCGGCTTTATTCAGGACCCCGTATTGTCGTACTGTACATGTTGCGGGTGCGCTGGGAGGGAGCGCCGTATCGAGACGCAACGTGTTCACACTAGCGACCTCCCCCGCCCCGTTTGACCCCTCTACGCAGCGGTTCCTTTACACTCGAGTACGTTGTGAACCACGCCAGTGGTTTCTTTGCCTCGTGCCTACACAGAACGCGCCGCCACCCTAAGAGCGTAGCAGCAGTCAAGAACTTGGACTGGCCAAAAAGAAAGCTATCCAAATCTCAGAACCCTGGCCGTAAGAACTGACGTTCGGTCAAAAGGGCCTACACAAAACCCATATGAACAGACCCCGTTGGGGAAAACTGCATCGGCAACAATATAGGAAGCGAGCCTCGGCCGTACACGAGGTGTTCTCAAGTGGTGGCCCGTTCTGTGTGCTCGCGTACGTACGCGATGTCGCCACAGGTGGGACGACTTCCGTTCCTGGAGACCGCACGGACGAGGCGACATGGACGCTGTTC